AACTGTTACACTGTTAACTATTTGCATATTATTTTAAGGATTAAAAATCTCACTTTATTGTTGAATGTAAGCACGTTCCGTTTATGACGTAAAGTGTTTACATAAGTAAGTAATGTTCTCTGTTATCTTTAAATAGTCGTGGAAAAAATGTAATCGGATTTGAACATTTTTATCTGGAACTGTTCAAAGACCCGAATCAATTATATAATTCACTAGCTGCTGGCGGTTTATTATGGATATTTTCCCGCAGTAAAACGTAGTCTATTTGTTAATCCAGGGTGTCAGCTAACTCCATACCAAAATTTATTAAAATCACTTCAGCCTTTTAGACGTGAGGAAGTAACAAATATACACACTCACAAACTTTCGCCTTCATAATATTAGTATGATTTGGAATTAATATTAAATAATTAATTAATAATTAGAATTAAATAGGAGAGGATGGTTGGTGTAGCAGTTTATAACTGCTGTACCAGCTATCTTCGCGTTTTGACTTTATCACCACTTAACATGAGGTGGGGAAGAGACATTTGCCTACATGACTATAAAAAAAATATAAAGAACGATAAAACCTGAAGTTATTTCTAAAATAATAATGATAGTGATTGATTACCCCACTACGGCTCCATAATTTTACGTTTCATTTTTTTTATAATCGTGTTCGTCATATAAATCAGGCACAGCATAGCACTGAAACCTTTCTGAAGTCCTATTTTACTTCTTGGGTTAGTGTGCCTGCGCAAAGTTCTCGCGTTAGCGCTTGATCGCACCGCCGGCGCCGGCCGCAGCATCCGACGACGTTCACGTAAACTAATTCTTATTCGTCGTCGATCGTCCTACAGCCGCGCATCATCCATATATCCGTTAATAATTGAATTGTATGTTCATCGCAGTTTTCATCGAGTTATGCAAATCTGGATTTCTGCACATACAGAGGCATCCGGAAATCAGACTGGTAAATGCTTCCTTAATTAATATTATGAATACATACGTGGGACACTCTGAAAGTTTTGAGAAACCAGAAAACTAACTTAAAATATTTGTATTTAATATTGTCTAAGTACTCTCCACCAGCCTCTATACGCAGGAAGTTTCATGCGTCTGAACCAATTTTCAAATCATTTTTTCCAGTCCTCCGCAGACACCTCTCCACGGCCTTCTCAAACGCTGCTTCCGCATCGCGCCGCATCCGCCGTATCGCGTCGTTCCACGGCCTTCTCAAACGCTGCTTCCGCATCGCGCCGCATCCGCCGTATCGCGTCGTTTGTCGTCATCGTGGAGTGTAGCTCGTGTATGCAACGTGCCTGTCAACATGTTTCCTGAAATAAATATGTACCGACTATTAATTGCCACAACCTCCTCGTGCGACTATTAGTGTTTCCTGCAAAGTGATTCGTGGCGTTTGTCCCGAGACATTTCACGTCTGCGCGTCTGTTTCGCGTCTTGTCTCGCTCCGCAATATGTGGCAGTACTTGACCGTAATGTATTCGAGGCTTCAAGCAAACATTTACACGTAGGAGCACAATTTCACTAGAGGCAACAGTATCCAACCCATCTTCTTTTAAGGTTCCTAAGGAACATGGATGATGTTAGTAGTAACAAATAACTCCGAGATTTACTGACTAAAGAACTTTATGACAAGAATTTTCCTCATTCGGTTTACACTTGCCGCTGGCTGCGTGGGATCTTTAGTGTTTAGATCTCATGTTGTAATAAGGATTGTCGTGTAGCGACAAAATAAAACTAGATAGAAAAAAAATAAAGGAAAAATCAAAAGAACATTTACAAAATGATGAATAGTGTGTGATATTTTTGAAATTGTGTGTTTCTAGAAATACATAATAAAATATATGTTTATGCCTGAAGAATATCGATTATGTTAGATGATAAAATGAGTTAAATGGAACCTATGATAGTCGAAACCATGGGACGATTCCTAAGGGACGTTACAGGTTTTACGATAAAATAACTATTTACTTTATTGTATTATGGACAGTTTTTTTCCGACGTTGTTCCGAGCTTACGTCATACATAGTATCTAATCGGTTTCTTTCATCGTTCACTTCTAATATAAATAAACGATTATCAACTTACACAAGTTCCTCCACCGCATTACACGCCGCAAGAGAAGTTTCACCACCACCATCTGGACAGTTGCGGTTTTTGCACCATGCGGATACCAGCAAGATCTGGGATGAACTTCTCTCATCGATTTTCCCTCTTAGCTACGATATGGCGGTCTTCAAAAGGCGGGTAAACCTTTTCTTTTAGAGCAACGCATGTGTTCGCGAAAACACCTTCGATAGCCCACGAGAACAAGTTGGTTTGGTCGCTGATCCTATCGCTTCTATTGGTAAAATTCAGGCACAGGATTTCCCACCATGAAGTAAACCACTCACCTTGACATCGCCAGAGCTCATGCTGGAAGCGTTATGTGTCCACGTGGTCACCCACTCAAGTCCTTATTGTGCATCAATTTCACTAACATAGCTGTTCCACCAATACAAATATTTAATATACGTGACGATTTAAGCAGTTCACTTATAATTATTAATGATAATCCACCGAAAACCGGTATCCCGAAGTATAATAGTCAAGCACCTCATGTGTGCGCTTGCGCCGCCGATAGACGTAATGCGGGGGTGACAGCAGCGCCCGTCACCGTTGAGTCGTGGGTTTGCAGTTTACCCACTTAATAAGAAATACTATGCCTGAACAGCATGAATGTACCCTTGCTGCTTCAAGTGTCCATGGGCGGTAGTGATCACTTACCAGCTCGATTGCCTGCATAAACAGAATAAAAGACCACAATTAAAATATTTTATTTATTCGTGTTGTGTTTTTATTGCGCTTTGTATGAATATGAGCTCAAATGTTTAGGTGAATATATTTCTAACTTGTTCATAATTTAAGGATATTTTTTTTTGGAATTCTACCACAAAACATTCATATTTTCTGAAATAAGGAAAGTGAAATCGGGACCGGTCGCCAGCAAATCTACAAGATTGCAATCTTGTGCGAACAAACTTTGCTCGATTGTAGATAACTCAAATACGTCATTATTGTGATGTAAAAACGCGTGATATGCCCATTTCACTATACAAACATAGTTTTCGTTTGTATAAAGCTTAGTTAGTAGTGTCGTTATACAGTATGACTGGAAAAATCTACCTATTCCTGAAGGGGCTATACTAGAGTTCATTAGTATACTAGGGGTCAAAACTAAATGGACAGAGTTGTGACGGTTCTTAATTTTTTTAGAATCTTTTTGACTTGCTGCCATAAACCATTAATTTGATTAAACTACTTCACTCTAAACATTGAATTAATAATTTTGTAAAACATGAAAAATTTGTGATCATTTAAAAAAAAAGGTTGCCCTAAACTTAGACTATCACAGAAAATGTAGTAGGGATCTTTAGTTTATCATAACATGCTCAATTTTCATGCTAAAGACTGCAAGACTTTTAAAAGAAATGTAATAATTATATACTTTAAAAAATACTTTATATGTTTTCCTCTTAATTTTGCCACTATTTGACTTTGTATCATTCAAATTTAGTATTTGACGAAAAAAAGCTTATCATTATCAAGCCGTAGCTCGGTCCGTAGATCGTGATTGCAGAGAAATGACCCAAAAAGATTATTTTTATATTTTTTAAAAGCTACAACTGTTTTCTCTACAGTTTTTTGATAAAATTGATATTTTTTTGAGTTGTTCGTGAAAAATATATATATATTAAAAACGTCATTTTATCGTCGAAGAACTGTTACTTTCATAGCGAATAACTAGAAAAATATTAGTTTTACGAAGAATGTGTATACAGTTTTTTTACTTATATAATTTTTTTTCATCGATTGCTGTTTTTTTAGAATTAATAAAAAAAAACCCTCGAGATGGGGAGGCAACCACTCTCAGGATAAAAGCGCCCCTCGACATGATATAGATTTTGATCCTAGGGCTATTCCCTAGCTTCTGTGAAAATTTCAAGTTAATCCATGCAGGACGAAAATATTTCGACGTGAAATGCTTCATTTCCTAGACTAATAGATTCTTCAGTTATCTGAAAAAAAAATCGATTGAAAACTAACAATTCTGAATGGCAATTGAAACAAAAAGAAAACCATGGTGGCCATCGTCGACATGTAACGCAAAACAATTTAAAATACGGAACCATCTTTTGTTTCAGACTGAATTAAAAGACAGATTAGTGTTATCTATACCATTCAATGTTTATTTGGCCTTAATAAAAATAATAATATTCAAATATCTGATGCAAGAATGTACATGTATTTACTAAGGCCCTTAATATCATCGTTATCGCATGGGCTTTTCCTAAAAATAGTATGTAAATATATCACAAAGATACGCAAATAGATTTGAGTTGTAGTGGTAATAGTAGTAAGTACCTAGGTGAATCTATTTAAAGTAGATAGCTAGTCACACAAGGGATCTACGATGAGATCCCCCTAGAATAAGTAACTATTTGCTCTCTGATATCGCAGCGCGACGCGCAAACTTCGACGAATGGAGAAGATTTTTTAATTTGACGTGTGAGATTTGGAGTGTTTACAGTTATAAGAACTATATCCACCTCAAGCTCGGTCCTAAGGGGAAGGGTCATATCCCCCCTCCCCTAAGAACCGTGCCTGACGCGGACGTGCACTTGAGCCTTATGAAATTTACCAACGGGGGGGGGGGGGGGGGGCATTACCCTCCCGCCCAAATCGCACGACAAATTGAAAAATCTTCTCCATTCATTAAAGTTTGTGACGACGATCTCTACCCAAATATAAAAGACTTCTTCTGTATTCCTTAAAGGAAGGAAGGGAGGTCATGACCTTCCCCCTTAGGCCCGTACCTTACATAGTTCTTGAAACTGTGCTCGTATGCTTGATGCTAATATCAATTAAATATCATAATTATAAGTCTACTAATGAACCCACTGGAGCACAGACTTAAACGAATGGCATAGGCGGGGTAAATAAAAGGAACCCAGTGCAAATTAGTGAGTGATAACTAAAAAAACAGATTTTTATAGTTTATTACAGGTTTTAATCTACGGAGCATTATCTGACACAATAAATACTTATGAATAACTAAGTTTGTTCGAAACATTTCATAGAAACTCCAACAGCCACTTTCGAATAGGTTTCAACGAGGTTCTCGTAAAGATGGTAGGGCTAGACGAAGTCTTGCAGTTCTTCGATGTCCAACCGGATGTGATGCCCCAGAGGCCGTCCTCCGCAACCACTGGTGCTCCTGGATCGGGCTAAAAGACAAGTTTTATTTATATTTTCATTCTTGATATAAGGACAGAGGGATGAGTCAGCATGTAGCATTTTGTTGTAATCAAAGTACAGAATGAGAACGATTACTGAATACACCTCGTATTACAAATAAAGAAGGACATAATTTTTTGGCCTGCTTAAGTAGGTCTAAGTATTATAGAGAAAGGAAAAAACATGAAAACAAACCACATTAAAAACAGCATAACCAACACAAGAACAGTCAAAAAAGGCAAATAGATATCACTGCTTCATAATTGCTGCTACGACAGTTTGCACAAGCTACATGAGTAGTGGAGACATATTACATTTATCACGAGGAGATTAATACTGCAGCTGCTTTGCGCTGTTACTTTTATCGCAACAAAAATTTCATTCCCACCATCTTGATGCGTAGTTATCCACAACCTTGCGATTAATAGATTTTTTTACCACGCAAAACAAAACTGTGGAATACATTGTCACCAGCAATGTTTTCGAACCAATATGACTTGAAAATCTTCAACAAAAGAGCGTAGGTACTCCTTCCTTAAAAGCCAGCATCGTATTTGTGTTACTCTTGGTGTAGCAGGTGAGCCATCAGCTGATATGCCCCCATAACATAAAAAATATATACTCACCATACAGAGACTGTGGTGAGTCTTGATGGGTTTCAGACACAAGCTGTTCAGGTCCAACATCATTTCGGTGGAATCCACGAGTGTCCTGCATATCTTCCAAGGGATGAGTCTTTGTGTGGATATTCTCATGCTGTGGTGTTTAGTTCGCTCCTTGGCCGACTTTGGAAGAGCACGACCGTTGATCTGGTTTCAGATATAATGAAATAGGTATTTAATAATAATGATATTATTTATTTATAGGTATGTATTAAATAAAATGAAAAGAGTTGCTTTTTGGTGGAATTAAAAAGGCAGTGAAAACCTTGCGCTGCTGACAAATTGTTACCAGTACCACGTCTTTTACGTACGTCACGTATTGACGTGACAACGTCTTAAATTAGGTTGCGGCTGGGAGTCACTTATGAAAAAGTGTAACGCTCGGTAACGTTACGATGAGTCTCTCGTGTTAAGTTTAAGTTTACATGTACAATGTTTTAGTAAACAAAATGTATTTCTATAGTTAAAATTTGTGCAATTCTTATTTTCATTCAATTCCTTGTTCCTATTGTGCAATTTAATTATATTCATATCAATAAATATTCTACCGAGAAAAAGACGTTGTCACGTAAAATCTTCGCCCGTAAAACCGACTTTACAGGCAACCATTTTTTTTATGATTTGGCGCCTGGGCCACTAGATTAACCATCCATTATTTATTACTTCTGCCCTTTGCAGCCTTAATGCCCTGGCCCATGGTTCTTTGGTCCTAGGGTATTAAATGACCACCGGCGTTTCTGGGAAGGCCTCAGCAGTGAGCACAATATTAAACAAAAGAGGTCTTGCAATAGACGGTACTTACAATCAGTCTCGGCCAATACGTAGTCATGAACTTGGCACTGATAACTTTCTGCGTTACATTGGACATAGGCACAGGCCTAATGTATTCTGTCAAGTTGACTTGCTCAGCCAGTTTCAGCACGGCGACATCGTATGCCGGATTTCCTCTCTCGTACGACGGATGGATATTTATACTCTTAATGTGGACCAACCGCCCACCCTTCTTGCAGTTCACGGAGCCCAATCTCACTTTATAGAGCTTTATTGACTCTCGAACGCTAGAACAATATATGTGGTTATTTATATGTGGTTGCATGGCTATAATCTCAACCATAGTATTCCATTCGTTTTAGTTAACTTTAACTTTTTAGCTGCTTTTTAACTGTTATTAAATGATATAAAATGGTAAATTCATCAAGTACATGTTCATTGTAAAGAGATTACGTTATAAAATAAATAAAAATAAAATAAATAAATAAATATTTCCAACACTCACACCAATTAGCCTAGCCCCAAAATAAGCACTGTAAGGCTTGTGTTATGGGATACTAATAATACCTAGTCAGAAAATACACTAACAAAACAATCTTTTGGTAGTGGTGTGTTTCTGCTGGTGAGTAGGTCTCCAGGGCTCCGTGGGTTAGGGGATTGGATTAAGGCCGGCAAGATGGAGAAGGCTGGAGCGGCACACTTTCTGCTGCATCATCTATCTTCGTAAAATGGCGGGGTAATTTATTGCGCCTCGTATAAAAAAATAACATAATATTAATATTATAATTTATGAATAAGGTTGTTTGCTCAATTTGTTGACCGTTAAGTACAACGGCCGGCAACTTAGCGCTCCTGCCTATTGTTAAAAATTCCCTGGTACGAATTTCCATAAGGTCATGTATGTGTTTGATAAAGTTTATACGCACTTATAAAATTCCGCTGCCGCAGTCAACACAGTTTGATTGTTCAGCAAAGCGCCAGAAGCATAATGGGAGCCTTTACGCTGTATCGACACAGAGAATGGATGGCTCAACAGAGTGCTGTTACATTCTACTTCCTCGCTTATCTTCTCTGCACTTTGTATGCTCCTGACTGTGCACTTTCTAAAAGCAGTCTTGTTAGCTGGAAGGTTCGGTAAATTATAATTTTTAGAATACTCACAAAAAGAATTATTTTACAGATTTGTCTTCAATAATAAATCCACAAACAACCCGTTTTGTAATAAATATTTATATTTTTAACACACACAAATTAATGTAGCCCCAAAGTAAGCGCTGTAAGGCTTGCGTTATGGGATACTAGAGTAACGGTTAGAATACATATTTTTTCGAAATACATATACCTAAACATCCATGACTTTAGTAAAAATGCTCGTATTCATCACAAACATTTGCGCCACCCTGACTCGAACCCGGGACCTCTGAGTAGGCGACACCTTGAAAAGCGGCTTTCATACCACTCAAGCCACAGAGGTCAAAATAGTAATACTTCTTCCAGTGCATTTGTAACTTGCCATACCACTGTGGGTAGGTGTGGCAGAGATGCCGTCATAATTTTGATTGAATACACATCATCAGCCTATTAATTACCCCACTACGCCTTCCCTATGGATAGAATAGAAATAGGGAGAACGAGACCTAACCCAACATGCAGACTCAGTGCGTATTGATGGGTGATAAGTAAACGAATGCTGACGGAGACTAAACCAACGAGACATTACGTGCCTTCTGAAACATGGAGGAGCTAGATATTAATACATTTGATGACAACCATTCCGTTCAGATTAATGAACGCATTTTGAGGAATTAGCCTCAAACTAAATTAGGAATTCAAATGAAAATTGAAATATTATTACCATAGAAATTTTGATCGGAATTATCAGGTACATGTTTGTCCGAACTCTTTCTATCAAGAACTTGGTTTTTTCCTTCTCTAGGTCGAATAACGTTTTCCGAGCCGATCTCTATATTAGTACTCGTATTGTTGTCGGTATTGTTCCTTCCTTCTTCATCGTCCCTTCCGTCCTCATCACTGTCTAAAACTTCGTTAATATCCGGGTTTTCATCACTCTCTGAACTGACGGAGTTATCACTTTCAACGTAAATATGACAACAGACAACGATAATACAAAAAATAATTTTAAACAAATTCTGTTTGATCATTTTCTAAATTTTAAAATAGCATCATCAGTTCTCAATTCCTAACTTTGCCAGATGCACTAAGACTGCCCCAAGCAACCAGGTGTTAAATACAAAGGTTTTCATTCAAAAATAACAAGAACAACTAAAAAAGCCAGTAAGAAATAAAAGATTAATGTAGAACAATCGTGCATTGACAATGATAAGGTTTATCATAAAGCTAAACAATTAGGACCATTTGCAATCGTTTCGTTGTACGCACGTTGTAATCATAGATTGTTCAAGCTTTAACAATGATAGTAATCATGACATACTTGTTCAAAAAAACATACCGACATAGTTTAAGAAAGAAAAGAACTTAAATGATGATCAGAAGACATTAAACGGTCCATCAGAATTGATGGGTATCAAATTTAATAGTGTGTTGAAGTGTAAATTTTAATAGTAAATGTAATCTGTAGGGGATGTGATAGGGCGTGAACAGTAGTACAACAAAAAAAAAAGGCTCAAATCAAAGTTTATTACACTAGTAAACATTGCTAACATCAACACAAAAATATCAGGAAACATCAATTGTCCACGGAAAACCTTAAAGATGTTGCCAAGAATAAAAGGATATTTTGCTTCCAGCTTCTGCATTCTATGTGTCGCGTGTCCAGTGTGGAAGTTGAATAAACAGAAAGTAGATTTAACTAAGGTTTTCTTGAATCAAAAGGGTCGGTGGGTTTAATATTTGTTTTGATTTCTGTATTGTTTGCTTTAACGGTTACCATTGTTGCAAAGAACAATAGCCGTTACCTTTTGTTTACCTGCCTTCTAACACTTAACTCCATGAGAGAAAACTGGAACATTAGTAATGAGCGGAGAACTTTAAGTGTTCTAGTGAAGTTTTAATTACCCCTAGTATTATATATTGCTATTATGATGATTTTAAGAAAAGCTATTTTAGTCACATTTTTAAGTTTAAGTTTTAAAACCAGAATTATAGGTGTACAAAGTGGTAAATAATTATTTCTATCGGTATAAATACTTCAATAAAATTGACTTATATACTTGAAGATTAGAAAATGAAAAGTTATCTATTCAAAACAAAATTGAAAACGTAGACGCAAGACATAAACGTATTTAATAATTATTACTTGAATATTCTATACATACCCCTAATAATAATTACTCGTACCTACAACACCGTCTAAATTTTTTTTTTCGATGAGTCTTTTTTATATTTTGGTTATACGTTTACAGCAACAACGTCACGTAACGAGTTGGAATGTGAATTTCCTCCTCGGATGGAAGAAGACCTCACACACATCAGGAAAAAAAGACTGACCACAAGGAATGGACTAGTGTGCCTTGAGGACTATCCTTACACTGTATCCATTAGGTAATAAATTGGCCAATGATACGTCTTCTTTGGAGTTCAGTAACCCGAAGATCGAAAAAAGTACTTTATAACTGAGCCTTCGCTGTCTGTCGGATTGTCAGTTGGCTGAATGTATCTCAGACCGAGGTAATTTTCACAAAATGTGACTTTCTACGCTGACTGCAAGTTCCGTTGCAATCAACAGGAGTTCCTAGATTATTAATTTTTAAGTGTCTGTTAATTCCCATTACCAAATACATGAAATCAATAGACTTTCATTTCAATTTATTCTAATAATACTAGTAGAATATTGCATTCCTATTCTTGCATTAGAAACCTTCCGATAAAAGTTGATGTTCTGATGAAAACCTCGTGAAAATCCTTTCAGTACTTTTTGAGTTGATCGGGAACATTTACAGACAGACGAACTTTTTATTGTAATATATAAAAAAGTAGATATTTACTCACCAGCCAATCCTAGGCTCGCTTGGTGTGTTAGGGTTTACAGCCTATTCGTACTTTGTAATTCTACACATAATGACGGCCTTTGCCTCCACTACGGACATAATATTAAAGACTGTTAATGAAATATTTTCCGCCCGAAATTCTTTTGCAAGTTTTTGTCTGGGTATTCCCAATTTTATATGTATTTCATTTTTAATTCTAATTTAAAGCGATTTTTACTTACAGATTACATGGCAAACATTGGTGTGGAGGGGCTATAGTGGCGAAGCAATGGATTTTATCAGCTGCGCAGTGTTTTGATTAGTGAGTTAACCACTTTATACATTTTAAATAAAGTCATACTCGTGTTTCCTTCCTCCTCCTTGTACTCCTTCGTACTCCCTTTTAGATCGCGTTCGTGTTGCTCTATATTCAAATTGAAATTTTTGTACATTCGTAGTCAGACAGAGCAACCTTACTTAATTTTATCGAGAAATAGAAGTTCTAGATCTCTCATTGTTTCATTTTAACTTAGTGACCAGTGTAGCACCACATCAGGAAAGAAAGCACAGAGTCAAATCCTCATGCAGTGTGAGAATGTTAGTGGGCCTATCGCCGCCAATAGGTACCAAAATAATGATATCCAGCACCAAAATCTTGAACACATCTTCATTGCTTTAGTTATTATTCTAAACCGTCAGTGTTTAGATACCTACTCACACGTGCGCAATAGTATGAAGCGTTGTCGCTGTGCCTTCTTTTTTTCATTTGGGTAAGCTTTACCCAGCTTAAAAAAATGATGGTTTTGCTAAAGAAAATGTTTCAGAATCCGGCACAGAAAGTTATTTTAGTAAAGCTTGATTATTCACAGTGTCACTAATGATGAGGTCACTGTACGATTGGGGTCCGTCTTCAGGGACTTCGGGGGTCGGATACTGGCAGTCACTGACATCAAGAGGCACCCTGATTACAGAATGGATCAGTACTACCCAGAACACAATTTAGCATTAATTAAGGTAAAAGCTATACTACCTAAGTAATAGAAATAATAAGATTCATTTAGGATACATCAAATTTCAAATACAATAATTTATAAATACGCTAGCAATACGTGTTATAAAAGCTTAATATTTTTTTCCAGCCCAATGGTAAAAGAAGTACAGTAGCGCAACAGTAGCATATCCTACAATCGCGCTTCTGCTAAGTCTCTATGGCCATGATGGGACTAGTTTATCGAGTGCATCTAGTCTTGAAATAAACCTCGCTAATTTCTATTACTGATCTTCTACCATCACACTCAGCCTATTATGACTCAGCATGCATGCATGCATTGCGAAAGTTCCACACGATTGCAGACTGTACGCACTGACCAAATGCGCCATCGAACGAGAACGTTCGCAACCACTAATTCAGATGCGACTCGTGTGGTGGGGTCGCTCATCCGTGGGGAGGCACTTCCCCCAGCAATGGGCATATTAATAGGCTGATGATGTATATCAAGCTGGGCCACATCCGCTTCATCAGTCATTAAAATGAATGATCCGCATCAACCCTGCGATATCGGTTAAAACTTGACTTCAGCCGGCAGTACTTGAGGCATTAGAAGGCTGATGTGCTATAGAATATACTTCCCGAAAATCAACTTGAGTCTTGCTCTAGGCGTAAACGGGGTTACTATATAGAGTTTTAACCAACTTCAAAAATAAGGGGGTTCTGAATTTGTAAGTACCTATATTTATTTTTCTCTTGTGGTTGGCAGGTCAATATCCCCATTAGGCCTAACAACCGTGTGCAGCCGGTGGCGTTAGCCATAGCTGACTCTGACCTCCCGCCGTCGTTCGGGGAGACGGTTGTTACCGGCTATGGATCTGTGGTAAGTATCTCCTATCACTATTAAAGTTTCCTATTTTTCTGAAAAGTTTGGTAGAATTAAAATGGGGTTTTTTGTGTTAAAAGGGTATCCCGCCTGATGGTAAGCGCCCGCCCATAGCCTATAGATAGTATAGTCACCAAAAATATCACTTGTATCGTTGTCTACCATGATCCAATCCCCTACCTCTCTTCCTCCCTGATGTCCGTGATGCATACAAAATCATTAGAGAAACTGAACCAGGGCATTTAGTCTGTCAAGCTTTCACTGGACATGGCGCATTCGCACAATACCTGCATAGATTCAAACTGAAAGACTCACCAGACTGCACATACGCTGCAGGAACAGAAGAAACCATACTCCACCTGTTAACTGAATGCAAAAATCATACATTAGATAGATTAAATTTGGAAACTGAAATTAAAACAAAAATAAAAAATAAGTTTAAAAGAAATCATGTTAAATTCTAAAATAAGACTAAAATTTTTAAAAACACTACCAGTAAAATTAAGTAATAAAACAAAATTAATATAGCAAAGTAAAACAAAACCAGATATAAAAAGATTCGGACATGAGTCTGAAGAAAATTAGAAAAAGAAAAAAAAAATCCCCTACCCCGTACCTAGCTCACTGACAGAGAACGACACCACGAAAAAGTAGTGATATTTTATTGTGAACCTTACAGAAGGTAAGGTGGAGGTAACTTTCTCAAACTGGCGCTCCAATAAATCCTAGGCTTTGCATAGCGCTACCATTCCATTTTTAATAAAGCTTTAACAAAAATGTAATAGTATTTTATTGAGATTAATTGACCACATTTAGGTTGATATGTAGTCGCGTCAATGGTTTAAAATTGTGTCTCCCTTTAGCAAGTGAAATCTATCAGAAATTTGGTGACACATTTCTTTGTCGTACTATTTGCAAGTGGAATTCATTGCTCGTGCAAGTGTTCCCTTTTTTCTACTATTTGGGATCCTATAAAAGAGGTGAGTAGAAGCATTTCTGCAGGCCAGCAGGGTGAGGATGGTTAGTGTGTGGTGGCATTTTATAACTGCTGCACCAGCTATCTTCACGTCTAGACTTTATCACCACTTAATATATGGTGGGGTAGAGTCTTTTGCCTACCTAAGTACATAAAAATCAGTATAATATGTTCCTTTTTCAGGTCACCGGCCAGATCCGCGAAGGCGAGAACCAAGAATTGAGACGAATGATAGTGCACGAGGTGCCGAGGTCGTCCTGTCGCCTTGTCTACGGGAATGACTACAACCTTCAACACGACCACATCTGTCTGCAGAGCGCGGTGAAAGGAGTTGCCCTTTGTGCTGTAAGAACCTCCATCATTATCAATCTATTGATGTCCCCACTGCAGGGGTACACGCCTATCCTATAATTGGAATAGGAAGACTGGGCTGTGACACACCACGCGACCCCAGTGTGGATTGGTGGATACTAACGACTGCAGATGTAGCCGGGAGCAACGGCCTTCCGAAGCTTGAGATAATAAGTTTTTATCACCCATCCAATGTTCGACTATCACGAAAGGTGCTTAACTTTCACGATCGCAGGTCGAAATCGTTAACCACCTGCGCCATCGAGCTCCTCAACCACCACGAATGAACTTCCACGTAAAAACCTCCACTAGCTCTGTAAGATCCTAGTACACTGATAGTGGTAAGAACCAGAAGCTGAGGCGCACGATAATTCACGTGCTGGGTCATACAGGGGCGTTTTTTAAAATCTGGCGCCCAGGGTCACTTAATCAAAATACAGGCCTTTAACGAATGCCTTTATGGCTTCTGCCGCCATTAGCCCTTGAATAAATACGCCCCTTCGGTCATCCTGGCGCTTTGTCTACGGAATAGATTAGGCACCACCTTCAACATGACCTTATCTATCCGGCAGTGTGGTGTTAGGCGAGCTCTGTATGATATAAATTATAATTGAACCTCTTTTAGCATTATGAGCTCTTAGTAGGTACAACCGTAGTAGAGAGAATCAGAAGGCAAAGGTTGATTTACACTTCGGTAAATACAGTAGCGTATTAACTTACGGTCTTGGCGAGTAAAGTTCTTAACATCGTGGGGACAGGGATTTGTCAGTACATAACTGCATAACTATTAGCTTTCTACACTCGCTATTGCACTTACCAAAGTGTAAATTATTTATTACCAATTAGTGTTCTCGTAAGAACCAGGATCTGTTGATCATGATAGTCCACGAGATTTCAAGATCATCTAGTCCAGTCATCTTGTCTACGGGAACATTTACGCCACCTCTAACATGACCTCATTCACCGGCAGAGGTTTTTGAAAAGCGTAACACTCTCTGCCATAAGAAAGTGATTTTATAGGAAAACTAGTTATTATATTTATTATTTATTAAGCATGTAACTGCTAGATGTTTAAATCTAAAGAAAATATTGCTAGAAAAAAACCCAGCGCTGTAGCATAATAGTCAGTGCATTCGCCTGGATAGCGAAGGGTGCGGGTACGAGTCCCGTCTGCTGCCTGCTGTGCTCCACATCGGATACGCGCGTGAAAATTTTACTGAATAGCACTGCTGGTCCGCGTGGATTTTATTTCTAGCAAAATTTTCTTTACATTTTAACAAGTTATTAATCTAGTTATTCTATCATTTCATGCACTGGCATATGGCTGGTGCAAAATATATTTGTTTTTATGGCCGCAGGGAGACACTGGCGATCCGGCAGTTCATTTCAGCGGGATGAACCGAGCAGGCACGCTATACGGTATCGCACTCTTCTCCGGTACCGAAGAATGTGCATACAAGTCAAAGCCTGGAGTTTATGCAAAGGTGCGTTCATTTTCAAAGAATTTATGTGTGATCATAATCATTCGTAAAGTAAGTTTTCGGACGATTCGAAAAAGTTGTTATAAACATTAAAGGACATTGGGCAAAAATGTATGGACGCTGCACCCACGGCTTAAACTACATTTGTTTGAAAGGTATTATAGTCATGATCATCTGTATCAAAGCGCATCAAATTCCATCCCGGGGGTCTTTAGTTATTTTAGTTTAAATAGGTACAAGTACTATAACGAATGAACATTAATGAAACAAGGGAATTAATTTAGTTAGTTAGTCCGACCATACATAGAGGGCTCGGGTATTATGGGAGTACTTCACGAGGTGCAAGGGTGCCCCCTTATGTTATTCTGACACGCTAAAGTAAATCCAAAAATCCCCGCATGGGTTCGAGTTTTTTCAAACAGTGTGTTCGTTGTAGTAAATTGTCTTCTATGTAAAACGGGGCGACCACAAATCACACAAACTTGTCCAAGCTTCGAAGAAAACATGATTCCAGTTCATCCATACTAATTGACAAAACCGATTATAGTGTGCCAATGTCTAAAGCATATTAAATAAAAATCAATCAAGTGACAGGGAGCGCACAATCACAACGAAGTAAGACGAGTCGACTATTTGCAACAGCAAGTCCTTCAACCCCCGTAAACCGTTTTGTGGTGGCTCAGTAAGCGCAAGCGCAGGATGGTCGGCAGGCTTTGTCGTATATCTGGTTGTATAGTATGATATGGTATATTATTATGGTTTCGAATAATATAAAATGAAGACACTATAAAATTAATTTATTAAGCTACTTAAATATGCCCATGTGTCATATATTTGGACTTCCAGGATGTTTTTAAGGTGTCATATTAAAAAAGGCTAGTTTTTCATATATCTATCGATTAATACTAATTACATTGTTGGCGGAGCTGGGTATGTTTTGCCCATTGTCCTTTCATGAAAAGTTTATAATTATTTGTTGTAGTTATGTTGATTTAATGAATCAACTAGACCTAGTGCGAGCCCATAAAAAGTGTTAAGTTTTGTTTCAACCAGGAAAACAAAAAAGAGTTCTGACAGGGGCACCTGGTGAGAAATTCTCATGGATACCGTAGAGCCAGCTGCAGGGTTATGTCAGACTCTTAAGGATAATTGAGTAATGTTAGTGTGTACAATGAATATGTATACCAATACATAATTGCTAAATTGTGCTGTGGGCCATTCAGGTATCTGGTGGCTCAGGCACGTAAACATTTTACTCTCTTTACTTACAGTCTGAGAACTGATATCTATCTATAATATTTAGGGGACTTTTATAATATTTTTGAAGCTGCCAGATTAATCTTAGGTACCAAAACTACCATAAGCTTATTTAAAGTGCCACTCTGAGAAAGAGCGCGCTCATGGTAAATAATTGCCTTTTTATTACAGCTTCAATAAAGTAAACTTAGAAATAATGTTAAGAAAGCCTTGTACAGTTATTAAATAATTTCTTATTATCTAATTAACAAAATTATTGCAGAAAATAAGTAAGGTTGTGTTTTTTCTTTCGACATTAAAAGTATTTGGTAATAAAAAGTGCTGACAAAATGTCTGGCAATGTTATTTTCAAATTGTTTACAATATAATTTACTACGTACGTAGTAACAGTCATCAGATTGTAAGTAAAGTGAGTAAAAGTTTTACGTTTAAGTTGTAATTGGTCCACAGCACAAGCACAAGTTAGCAAGTAGGTATGTATACGTTTATTGTACACACTTATATGACTCAATCGTCCATAATTTGTCCATGAGATCATAAGTAAGGTCAGCCAGTCTTTGGATCCTGTACTAGTAGGTTTGGAACGTAGCCCACGCTAGCGAGTTGTCAAAAAATGCCCGATGAAACAATACTCTGCCACGGTAATCTCTGCCCCTCGACCCGCATGGGGGGATTTGTGTACGTGTTTTCCATCGAGCTCGAAAAGCAAAAAGTTTGCTGATGCAAACAAATATGTGTAGAGTAAAACAAAGTTTTGTGTAGACTTTTTTGTTGAATCTGTAGGGCAAAACACGCGCTGGAGACCCACCCGGCTTAAAACACGCGTGGGGGAATGCTTATGGCCATAAGGGCTTTACAGACCAGCCGGCCTATTCGTAACTTTTTTGAGATTTACAGTGTGTAACCAAAAAAATAATAGCATATCCATCGATGTTTTTCAGAACAAGTAGATATCTTAGTGGCGTTAAAATAAAGCAGTAGTGAATCATTAAATAGCTCAGTGATTAATTCTTCTATCTGTCAAAAGCAGTTAGCGAATAGGCCAACTGAACTCTCTTGAAAATGTGAATAGGGTCACAGCGACTAAACCATAGCTGATGCTACTGAGGCGAGGAAATGAATAGAAAAGATAGATTTGTTCGGTCTCTGGTAGCAGAGTAGTAAAAGGAAACGACCCCATTACATCAATGAGAGCAGGGCGAGAAAGCCACAGTTTCTTCTATATAAACGTAAAATACGCCACGATATTAATCCGATGTTGCTCGTAATACGCCATCATTTTAACGTTATTACACTAGCTCCATAGAGTTTAATAGTAGGAAACTCTATGGAGCCAGTGTAATAACTCTAAAATGATTGCGTATTAACATCGTATTAAACTATTTCAGTTTCTTCCGACTTGTCTTGTAGAGATCCTGCGTCTACTTTTTTTAATTAATTTTTAATTGCAGGTATCGTATAGCCGTTTATGGATCGACAAAATAATAGGAGAATCGACTGAACACAATGAAAGCGCCGACAGTGGAGAAAACACTATACCCTTAGATATCGATAGATAACTTAATTGTGCCAATAAAGTAATTAGTTCATAATTAATTGTGTCAATAAAGTAATTAGTTCATAAAATTTGTCTTTTTAATGAAATGTCCAAACTTGCATAATCATACTCTGTTCTAGAAAATCAGTTGCGCTTTCTTCATCTTTTTCATAGAGTCTCTTAACATTAGGGTCAGGGTTTTTAATTCAATTCAATTCAAAATATTATTATTCAAATAATATGCATAATACAACTCTTTTAATTCGTCTATATTTATTCCCTACCACATTTTTTAGTTGCGGCGAAAAACGGACGAAAAATCTTCACAGCGTCAAATCGTGTAACAATATTTACAAAATATTATATTGTTACAGTATTAATTACATATCATCTTTATCATAATTAATACAATCGTAGGTCATCTTTATTATAATTATGGAAACAGCCTGTTGGAACCACGGTTGGAACGTTTGGCACAGTTCAAACCCAAGCATTTATGTCTGAAAATTAAACAGATACCTTATAATACAGCTTTACCCATAAGAACTTCTTAATTTTGTGGAGATTAGTAATTGGTACAGCTAATTTATTTTTATTTCTAGTATTAAGCAGATGTTTATCCCTATTTATAGGAAATAAATTAATATTTATTCAAAAATACTGAGACGCAACTGTCATTATCATTTTCGATATCAGTCATATCGATTTATTTAATGTTTTTTCTTAAAGTCTCTTGTCTTTATATTGTAACTTGATCGAACAGCCTTGCACCTGTTAAGGCATTGCCAAGAGGGTATATAGGAGGCCAGTTTAAAGAATATTTGCACTAAGATGGACGAGAGCGGTCTACTACGTGTTGATGGTCGAATTTCTGCTGCTGATGGTATCCCAGAAGGAACAAAACGACCGATCATTTTGAATGGCCGACACCATATATCTCGCTTTATTGTGGCACACTATCATGTTTGGGCTGGTCATGCAGGACGCGAAACCGTAGTCAATGAAGTACGGCAACGTTTTTGGGTTACAAGTTTGCGACCGACGGTACGTGCCATTGCTGCGTCATGTCAGGTGTGCCAAAACAGAAAAGCAATGACATATGTTCCACCAATAGCAGACCTACCAGGCGACAGACTTGTACACCATCATCGCCCCTTTTCAATTATCGGACTGGTCTACTTCGGGCCCGTTGAAGTTACTGTTGGCCGCGGTAGAGAAAAACGGTGGGTTGCCCTCTTTACCTGCTTTTCGACAAGAGTGATACACCTCGATGTGGTAGCAAACTTAACAACAGATTCCGCAATCATGGCCTTACGTCGATTTATTGCGCGGCGTGGTTGTCCCCACAAAATATTTTCCGACAGCGGAACTGCTTTCGTCGGTGCAAGCCGAGAAATCAAGAGAGAATGGCAATCGATTCGACCTGAAATCATTGATTTTGCAGTCAACAGGAGTATCGAGTGGCACTTTTTACCACCATCGTCTAGGAGGAGCGTCTAGCGGGTTGCGTCAAACGCACCCTTTCTGCAACATTAAAACAAAGAGCTCCACGAGAGGAAGTTCTGTCGACGCTTCTTCAGGAAGCTGAGAGTATTGTTAACTCCCGCCCACTCCACTCATGTCTCCGTAGATGTGGAAGATGCTCCAGCGTTAACGCCCAATCATTTTTTGATCGGCCAGTTATCGACTTTGCCAGTTCCTTGCGATTTAACGGACGATAACCTTTTGAGAAGAACCAATTGGAGAAAGGCTGTTAGATTAGCCGACCATTTCTGGAATCGGTGGGTCCATGAGTATCTACTAGTTTTGACCCGTCGAACAAATAATTCTGCGCGCTCGTCTCGAGATATAGTAGTTGGGGATGTCGTGCTCATTTGCGACTCGAACTTGCCACGTGGTATGTGGCTAAAGGGTAGAGTGACCAAAGTTTTCCCAGGACGGGATGGAATAATGCGAGTGGCAGATGTGCAGACAGTTGGAGGAATTTTGAGACGACCAATTCGGAAATTAATTAAGTTAGAAGTAGGTTCTAATGCATAAAATATTGTGTTTCATTGTCATAGTGGTGATTGTTATTGTGATTTTTCTTGTTTCGTTTTGCGATTTTTGTTGTACAGTTGCCTCATTCATTCAAAAGAGCTAGAATTAGTTGTTTGTTGTTTTGCTTTCTTGCAACCCTTAGGATTAATTGTTTGTTCTGTTGTTTTGTTCTGACTAATTCCTGTTCATGTTAGAGTTTTGGTATACATAGATGTCACTTATAGCTGTGAACAGAGGTCAGTCCTTGTTTCCTTTATTTGTAAACATTCGTTTACGAAGAGGGCCATGTCACGGGCAGACCTCCGTCACATCACTTTTTATATATATGTATTTCTCTATGAATCTGTGAGCTAACTCTTTAGTCTATTAATGTCAAGTATTCAGCTATTTTTATTGCACTCCTTTTTTATACAGTTTCGGTGTTACATTTTATAGTCAAAATTCCAAAATAAACCTGTTTTCCTATCCCATCTGCCTTTTCCTTTGCTGTCCACGACAGATGGACTTAGGGCACCAAACCTCTCGTAGATAGATTAAACATATATTTTATATTCGCCTGAAATCTAATAAATCCAATATAAAATCGAAGTTGTTTCTATAAATTGCTACGCTCCCAGGATCTACCCCTTCAGGGCAGATCGCCGCAGTACGTACTAAGAAAGTCTTTGAAAAGGAACAAAGAGAAGGGGTTGTGTTATTTTAACTAAAAATTATATATTATTGAACGTAAGTCCAGTATATTTAATAAAATATACGATATTACTGTTACTAATGAAAACAGTTGTATGTACCCGTGGAAGTACTCCATTGGAATAAATGAACTGCTAGGACTAGGAGTCACCAGATACAGCTGATAATTTTAAGGACTGCTGATTGTAACATATTATAATAATGGAGCAACCAATACCTTTATTTTCAATAATTTAGTAGTAGTAGTAGGTACGATGAATTTAATGACATTAGCTGGTGTAGCAAGAAACAATTTTTCATCAATGGAGATAGTTCAAAGTGGTAGTCGGATTCCGGCAACTTAACGTCTACTCAATCACTATCATCACAATTATGTTATATTCATCACCTTAAAATGTAATAAATCAATGAGTGTTTTAAAAAAAATCACTATGGCTAATGTCAATAAGTCCAGTGTCATGCATGATATTCGGGAAATCGTGGTAAACTTCTTGTACCAATTTATGATTGATTCTTCTTGAAATAAAATACCCAGAAAACACCTAATAAAATGTAATGGAAGATGAATAGAATCATTATCACTGCTTTAGTTAGGTACCTATTAAAATATAATATTTTTGATGCGCTGACAACAAAAAAAATATATGTCATTTTCCTATAAATAATTATAAGATACCTTAATTTTAAATGCTAAATATTCTTTTAAAAAACGTGGATGAAATGAATTATATTTATTTGCCTAATGATTTATAATTAAGTGCCCTACTGCGGAAAACTGAGTACTACCGTCCATACTTTGAACCGTCTCCTTTTATTAGACTTTTAATTTTGGTAGTCTTGGACCCATAGAACCGGACATATATGGAAATCATAGAAAGCAATTCCTTTTATTAATTCTCAAATATGTAGGGTAGGTACGCCATTTAATGTAAAACATAAATTAATTTGATTTGGCTGTAGGATTCAAAATCTGTTGTCTTTGTGTATGGGAGAATCTTACAAAGAATTTATTTATTAGTCAATGTCAAAATTGACAGATCAAAAAGAGGTTATGTTTGGCTAGTAATTAAATTCAGTTTTTATTTAACATGAAGCGATTAACGATACGCACAGTAACGAAAAATGACTTAAAACAGTAACTAATTATCAAAGCTTCCACCTAAGTCCTTTAAAAAGTTTTCTGTTATGACATTTCAGTCTATTTTCGGAGTGGAGTTATTTAGGCCGAATTCTGATCAAAGGTTAAGGTTTTATGTATACTAACACTGGTTTTAACTTAGTCTCACCCTTCTCGAACTGCCACTACTCATTATGGATGAGTTGAAACACAGAGCTGGTGAGAAACTGGAAGCATTACATGTAAGTTACTTTCACAATTTTATGTCTTTTTTAAATTACTAGGAGTAATTTACGCGCCACTTTCAAAGTTTTTTGCAAGTTTTAGCACCCTTTTCACTATGTAGTGTACATAAACATTAATATAACAATCATTTTCATTTATGTTTTGTATTTGTTTTGGTGAAAAATGTTTGTTTTATAAATAGAATAATGTCATTGACACCATTATACTAAGCCCCAAGAGTAGTTCTTGCGTCAATGACAATGTGCTTACATAATAAAGTCAATAAGACTTACATTGCAGAATCCTTTACAAGTACTTAACTTACTTAGGGATTGTAATGGTTATATAAATTTATTATCACTAGAAATATGTTTGAATCCTCATGTGCCTATTACATGTATAGCAAATTTTATTCCTGTTTTACTTCTACATTAAAAACACACAAAATTGTGCTGATTTTTTAATCCTTAATTAAAACAGGTAAATACAATTAATTGCATTTTCAAAACAAGACAGTCCATTCACAAAATATAAGTTTTGTATACAAAGTATTTTTTACTGTTATTCTTTATTTTATTATCATTTTATGATGCTTTATAAAAGATTTAAGTTTTGAGGTTTTTATTATAACTTATTTTGTATTCTAGTTAGCAGCCATAACTGCTGCAGATGGTGGGAAAAATCGGGTGCAAGATGTTTTCTCTCAAGCTGCAGAGAGCATTAGAAAGGTAAAAAAATATGTACTACATATTTGCAAATATTTAAATGTCACTAACTATCAATTTTTCGAGGAACTTAATGGCGTAGTTGGTTGGTGCATTTGGCCTGCGATCATTGAATTTAAGCAACATCAGCAATGGATGGGTGACCAAAAACTTATAATGTCAAGCTCCTCTGTGCTTAGAAAGGCATGTTAAGTCATTGATCCCAACTGAATCTGCAATCATTAGCACCCGCCTATCTGCACGGAGCCAGATTAATGGGTCATGGCCTAATCTCCCTTTACTTTCTATAGGGAACACTGACCCAGCAGTGATGACATTAGTCAAAAGTCAAAAACCCTTTATTCTAATTGGAAGCACAATACAGCTCTTTTGAATTGTCCATATTTTTTCTCTACCACCATTTATTGACATTTTTAGCTGTGGTAACAGTGTTAAATAGTTATATAACAATATTTACAAAATATAATAGGAGCCTGGTCCGCGTGGATTATTTTCTAGTAAACTTTTCTTTAGATTTAAACATCTAGCAGTTAAATGCTTAAAAAATAAATAAAATCATAAATATAATATTTTTAAGGTGTCTATACAAAATCATATCTTCATCATAATTTAAAAAGCCTGCCGGAACGTTTGGTACACTTTAAAAACCAGGTATTTTTGTCTTAAATATAATCAGACACCAAATAGGCTTTATTAATAAGAACTTTTTAATAGTAGCTTTAAATTTATTGATGCTGAATTTTTGGCTATTGCTAGGGACTTTAGAAATGTACAAGTACAAGATTAATAGGCTGCGATGATAATGATCCAATTTTTATTTATTACTTCAATGCCACTGTATAATTACAATAGATTAAGATGGACACTATGGCAACATATACAACCTTCAATAAAAATGTAATATTTATCAAAGTGATGGCTGCCTTTCAAGTCTATTGCTATCTCAAAGGGAGTAACAACATTAGTTTAAACTTGAAAATTTATTAATGTCTCTAATTTCAACAGTTCAATTTAAAATCTAATGCCAATTGTAGATGTCCAGTTGTTAGCTTGTGAGTCATGCAGGTTTATCTATCAGCTATAACTAAACATAAAATAGTTATATGGCTACAATATAAGTGTACACTTTTATGAAATTAAGTTTCAAAAAAATATTGTGAAATACTTGCAGCTCAGAGAGGCATTTCAAGAGTTGTGGCAGAACGAACTATTCGCCGAATCTCGACAAAGGGTAGTTGCCTGGACTCGCGAGGCAACACAAAGAATACGAGAGGGCGCACTACCATTGTCCCCTGTGTTATTGTATGAAGAACTGGTGGCACTATTTAAGGATAGAGGTATGCATATATTTACAGTCAAATAGATTGGCAACATTATTTGCATTAAATAACACTAACCTTTTATTAAGCAACATAGACTTATAACTTTAGGGCGCTTTCAATTTATGCGTTTCTTGACGGCCTGCTGCGTTGCCGAAGCGGAATTGAAAGCGCCCTTAGTCTATGTTTCGTAATTTTCGTTCTCATGATAATACTTTTACATTAGCTTGCTAAATAAAGACTGAAACAACATTCAATTTCAACCAAGTATACCTGAAGTCCGCGTATTGATATAAGTCAGGGAATGGCTTTCATCAAGTTTATTTCACTAACAGTAGTAACTATCTTCATAATATTATTTTCACTGCAAAAGGTAGCCTTTGTCCTTCTCCAATAATAAATCAAATCTATCACTTTACCAAAAAATAATTTAGGTATGCAACTCTGCTACCTACCCTGACATCCCCTTCCCCGTGGAGTTATGGAACCTTCCTCATTAACAGAAAACAACACCACCAAAAAACGTAAAAGGTACTGTTATTTTACTGTGGTTTTCATTAGCATTTAAAATGTATACATATACCTAACGGGTATGCAACTTCTTCTGTTTGGTTTAATTGGTTTCCCACACAAATTTCCACCCCCTTAAAGTAGGACTTCTGGGATACAAACTGTCCTATGTCCTTCTCCGGAACTTAATCTCAATACTAAATTTCATCTGAATAGTTCAAGGATTGAAGAGGTAACAGATAGACAGAAACACTTTCACATTTATTATGATTTTTTGAATCCCATTAGTTATTTTAGAATCCCTCAGGAACTTAACACTTTTCTGGGATAAAAAGTATCATATGTATCTTTCCAGGTTATTAGTAGCCTGCGAGTAAAATTTCATCCGAATCCGTAGCCGTTTTGCGTAGTTGAGTATCAAACATTCAAATTTATAGCCTTCGCAGATGAGGCACTTTTGTCCGTCAAAATAGATCGTAAAATCCCGAGTGAACAAAAGAATACGACAAAAGAAAAAAGATAAATGTCCTCAAAAAGATATAACTTATGTGACAAGGCTTAGCAACATACACGGCGAACTAAAATCCGCGTTGCGCGTTCGACCCGATTTATAAAATTGAACCCACTATTCTCTTTTAAAACGTCTTCTCTTATTCTTATATTTACTTCCATAGCGTGCGCTTTTCTAAATTTTGGGACAAATGTTCGCACATCAAGTTCTCGGCAAACGTTTTCTTCACGATTCAGAGATTTTAGTCCTCTACGAACTAAAGTCCTTTGTCCGCGCAGGCCATTTAATTATTTATTATAGCTACTAACGGGATTGTTACCATGTTCCTTGTTTTTTATGAGTCTCCGATATTTCGGCACTGTTGCAAACGCCATGATCACGGAGTAACTCCATGACCACGAAATAGCTATAATGTTAGTGACCATGAAAGTTTAAAACATTTAATTATGAGTAGGAAGTAGGATTGTGAATTCAAAGTGGATTTGTTTCACAGTGTGGCGACGCAGCGTGATAATATTCGTGTGTGGAGTGGTAGTGGGTGGGAGCGCGGGGCTGTGCATAGGGCTCCGCGCCGGGGCTCGAGTTCCGACCGGCCCGCACGCGCGGGCGCTCCACTCGCAGCCCGACCAGTCCGTCATATTGGTGGAGGATGCTGTGGCACCGGGTAAGATGAATAAAGTGATTATAAGTCGTCAGTTTTAAATGTTTTTAGTAAACTAATGTAAGCAAAAGTTTTATCGCTCGATAAGCTTTTGTTTTGTAGACCCGATCAGGCCGTCATATTAGTGGAAGATGCTGTGCCACCAGGTGAGAGGAATAAAGTGATTATTAGTTGTCAGTTTTAAATGTTTTTAGTAAACTAATGTAAGCAAAAGTTTTATCACTCGATAAGCTTTTGTTTTGTAGACCCGATCAGGCCGTCATATTGGTGGAAGATTCTGTGCCACCAGGTGAGAGGAATAAAGTGATTATTAGTTGTAAGTTTTGAATGTTTTTAGTAGAATGAATGTAAACAAAAGCTTTACTCTTACTTTTGTTGACCTGACCAATCTATCATATTGGTGGAAGATGCTATAGTGTCAGGTTAGAGAAATTCACCCACTGTTGGTCACGTTCACGTTCTGGGATAATAACTATTTTTTATCCTTTTCAAGGAGTGAAATTATCTTTATACCAAATTTCAACTAAATCAGTGAAGAGGTAACAGACAGACACACTTTTGCATTTATTATATTAGTATGGATTTGGGCACAAGCGGTTTTATAAATAGTTTTAATCACTTCGGCAGATGATTTTTATTTCTTGTCTTATTTGTTTCTTAGGTTTTCACGCACATCACTCATTAAATAAAACTAGTTTTAACGGACTTTACTTACTTATTGACGTTTCGCAGGTCTTTTCAGGTCTGCATCGTCAGAATTGTTGAGTTGTCTTGTCTTATCTAAGATATCAGTAAGATCGGAAGTGAATGCTAATACAATCAACGCTTTATTGACAGCGCACTAAGCGTTGGTTTGGTTAATTTTTTTAAACTTGTGTTTTAACTTTTAGGGCGCTTTCAATTTATGCGTTTCTTAACGGCCTGCTGCGGTGCCGAAGCGGTGCGTTTGTCGCATAGCGTACGGACGATCCTTTTTTTTTCATACAAAACGCGCGGTGCGGCAAAAGTCCTGTGGTCGAGCGTTCGCGGTATCGGCGCCGCACTGTTGCCGCACCGCGCGTTTTGTATGAAAAAAAAGAATCGTCCGTACGCTGTACGACATACGCACCGCTTCGGCACCGTCAAGAAACGCATAAATGGAAAGCGCCCTTACCCTACATACACCAACAAGAACAAAATACCTTATTTCTTTTACTCTACGCGCAATTCTGAATGCGCTATTAGCAATATAGTAGATACGGGTCGCGAGGAAAAGAGACGGCTATATTACCGACCATGCATTTGAATATCAAAAATATTTTCTATTATAAAATTTTCTTCAAATGCGTTAAATTAACAAACATTGATTAGATACCTGTCGAAAAGGACATTTTACATACTATAAGTATTTATTTCGGATTTTTCACTGAGCTCAGCGGCATGTTGACTTTTCAACGGTCCGCGCGTGACTGTGACCAAGAAGTGCTTGAGTTGTGTTCAAGCTCTTCTTGATTGAGACACATTTTGACCGCACGTGGTGTATCTTGGGTATTTAATATCGTTGTATCCATCATTTACTAGTTATATCTACCTATAGGCGCCGGCGCAGGCGAGGTATTGGTTCGAGTGCAAGCGTTTAGCGTGTGCCCGGTAGACCGCAGTGTACTGAGAGGACGCGGCTCCACTCTGCGCTCGCTAATAACCAGAACCCATCTCACTGTGGGACGGGGGTTTGCAGGTATGTTGTGTGGAGTATTAGGAAATAAATTAATGGAACTGATGTGATAAAAATCAAGGAGGAATCAGTCGAGAACGTTTGTGTGGAAAAAACTTTGCCCGCCAATTAGTTTGATGTTTGAATCGCACTATAGTCGTTCAATGGATGTTTTTTTTATTAAGTTTTATTGGTGTGCAAAGAAATATGTGACTTTCCAAATTTAACCTTATTTACTCTGATGATAGTGTTATTGACAATTTGTGTACAGGCGTGGTTCTAGACGTTGGTCCAGGGGTGGAATCCTTGGAGATGGGCGACGAAGTTTGGGGCTGCGTCAGCGAATGGGCTGGAGGGGCGGCCGGGGAGCTGCTTACAATACGCAGGTATTATATTGCTATGGGTGCGGAAACGCGGAAGAATCCCTAAACGGGGATCCCGCTGCTTCGCACTAAGCAGCTTAGAGGGTATTCGCAGGGTTTTAAGCGGATATTATGCCGTAAAGCGCACGTAATAGTTACGGGGTCCTCAGTGAAAAAAAAGGTATTCTATTGCTATCGAAAAACCCACCCAGATTATAATTATATCTGAAGAAAATAAAAACTAATATAAAATTCTACCCTGCCAAGGTATCATGGCACAAAATATAGTATTTTTTAAGTATCTAATATTTTAATAAATACTAGAAAAAATGCGGTTCGTGCATTCGTGTGAATCGCGAAAGACGCTGGTTCGAGTCTAGCCTACCAATACCTCCGCCGAGATGAACTTTTTCTACTGAAAATTTTACTCGCCTTCGCTTCGGTGTAGACTAAAGGCTTTTTTTTACCGACTCGTATTGTATAAATTTAGACATTCTGCGCGAAACATTACCTAACGGTGAAAAGAAAAACCAACTCTTTTTTGAATTTGAATTTGGTTAAATACATAGACAGATGCGGAAATTGATCTGTTTGAATATTACACTCCACGCGGAGAAAATCGCCGGTAATATCTTATCTGAATATATATAAATTACGCGTCACGTTGTTCGTCCGGGATGGACTCTTAAACTACTTAACCGATTTTAATCAAATGCACACCATATGCACTTTGATCCAACTTGAAATATAGGATAACTTGTATCTCAATTTATAGTTGCAATGTTATTTTATTGCAAATTATTACTTTTGGACGGTACGAAGTCCGCCGAGTCAGCTAGTAAATAAATATATATTATTACGTGTCGGGATGGGGTTCGAAATTATATGCCAGTTCACGCTTGACAGTTCTTTATTCACCACACAGTTCACACAATATTATTACAATACACTCACTAAACACTGTATTTCACTATACAAGTCTCTAAACTATCGCACTTGAACACTTTTGTTGCACTTTGATCTCCTTTGGATTCGCTCCGAAATCGCTGTTAAAACTCAACTGTCTCTGCGCGGCGCCAATCGCGCTTATATACGCCGATCGACGCATTCTAGAAATTACCTGTTAAATTGAGAGTTAGCTAGCACTCGCGAGTACGCAGTAACTACTTATACCTACGCAGGTAACGCGCATAACATGTAAACAAGCGCAGATGTCGTTGCACTTTCTCCCTTACTGCACACTGCATAAGGCTCACTTTAGAATGAGCCGCATTACTCGACCTCTATCGCGACCCGCGGTGCTCTGGCACATTCGATCTCTAGCACTTTCGCGGTTACGTTTCGAGAGCGTTTGTCACAATATAATGCTATTCAAATAAGAATAGGAAAACCAATGAAAGTTTTATTATAAATACAGGTAAAAAATACCCTTTTTATATCAAATAAAGTTGTCGTTTTAAAACCTACAATAATCGATATTGTGATGATAATAATGACGATGACGATGACTACTCCGACGGTAGTACAGAGATGAGCAGAATTAAAGAGCTAGATTCTGATTAATGTTTTTTCTCACTCAGTCCTAATATTATTATTTATTTACTAAAATTGAATGAGAAAAAACCAATAAAAAATAGTTTTTATTATTAAATATCTTTTCTCACTTAATCTTCGTAAATAAGTTTTATTAAAGAAAAACTTTTTTGCTTACTCTACCTAACTGATTTGAATTAACGGCTAGGACGCCACAATATGGCGCCCAGTCGGTCCTATTCTTAGTTGAATCGCACTATAAAATGATTTGGTTTCCCCCCCAGTACTCGAGTATCCAAGCGACCTCGTACAGTGACTGCAGACGGCGCGGCCACTTTGCCTTGGGCCGCAACGGCAGCCCTTACCGCTTTAGAATCATTAAATCTTTCACCGGAAAACGCGAAAGGAAAGAGGTAAGAAAAATACATACATACACAATAGGGTATTTGACAGTATAACCCACGAAAAATTTAATAGTTTTTATATCTATTGTCACCTTGAAAACGCCTGGGATTGGCGGACCCTAAAATGAATCCACACACTAGTAAACTTCCGGTCATAGTGACATTACATTGTATCGTTTGACGTTTTAATGACAGTCGTGTGACGTCACACACCAGTGAGACGCCATATTGCCCAGAGAAACGTTTTCTAGGCAACTTGAAAATTGAGTTTTGACGTGACGTCTTATAAATCGATGGAGCCGGCTGCACGCACGAAAAAACATGACTCATGTGGCGTTACCTCGCTCTGAGGCGTTCCATTTAAGGCTTGAAGTGCAAGCGAGAACGCGCAACGAGCGACAAAGAGACACAATCAGCCTCCGCGTTCGGCAGCTTTCGACATCTGTTTTGTCACGCATTAAACTATGTACATTGTAAAAAAACGTTGTCACGTACAACTATCGTCAGTAAACCGACTTTACAGACAATCGTTTTTTTATTAAGTTATTTTTACTGAAATACACAAGAGAATGATGAATATCCACGTTTTAAGGACTCCATAAACATAAGTAACGTGAGATCGTTTTCCTAAACTTGTCAAATACCCTATTAAAAAACTTTAAAGTACATTATGATTCGATGTTTTCAGTATCTGTTGCTTAAATACAGCATATGCAACGTCACAGAACACAGAAAAAGGTTACAAATGCCTTGTGGGCGGGGCAGGCGCCCCACAGTAATGTGTGAGCAAATGCTCATAACTTAACCAAAACTTGGTTCTGATTGCGTCGTTGCTCTCTGGTGTGAGCACTGATTGGTTCAATTGTTTGATATCGCGATATTTGACTGTCTATTATTATTGATCCACCTAATGGTGGAAGTGTAGTGGCAGCGTGCCGACGACATCGGTTCCCGTACAAACGCTCTATGATCACCCTTCTTACCTCTCTGTGTTTTGTGTGGGACATTATTTACCAAAATATTTATATACTTGTTTAGATAGTGAAATAAACCCCGTAACAGAATTGGTCTAAAAATTACAACCCCCCCCCCCCCCCCCCGCACTATTGCTTCGTTGTTGTAAAAAAATCAAAAAAATATATCCTACTCCACGAGCCCTAGATAACGATGTGTCAAATGCTGGGGTAAAAAAGAAAAAAATTTTTCGTATTAATCTAATTTTATTGAATTCGACTTCGGGCAAACAATCTTACACAAAATACCAAAATTTCAGTACTGTAAATCATTCCGTTTACGATCTACAGATCCGTGACAGACGGACTGACAGGCAGAGTGACAGCAACAAATAAAATAACGTATTTCTGGTGCGCCTGGTATCTTAGAATATAACATCTGCCTTCGACCTCACCTTATATTAGTAAAAAACAAATAAAACCTACTACAAAAGGAATAAGCTATTTGAACATTATGTTTTAAATAAAATCAAATCAAATAGCGCGCGCTTTTGCGACTTCCTGTTACACACTTCCGTCCATTTCACGAAATCACTCCCACAAATTGCAGGAAAGCGAGACGAAAAATGTTACACATTAAAAAACAAATTTTATAATATAAACTTACTTATTTCGTTCTCAGTCCATCATAGAAGGCGTAAATGTAAACTTTATTTTTATTGTAACAGAGTCGCAATTTGCGGAGCAGCGAGCGGCGAGGGTTGCGTTTTAGTTCAATTGTTGAGTGCGTGGGGAGCTCATCTCACCGTGCTAGCACCGAGACAAGCTGCCATGATATTGCAGGATTTAGGTGAGTGAATATTTATATTTTTAGGGTTCCGTACCTCAAAAGGAAAAAACGGAACCCTTATAGGATCACTTTATTGTCCGTCCATCCATCCGTCCGTCCGCCTGTCAAAACCCTTTTTTCTCAGGAATGCGTGGAGGTATCAAACTGAAATTCATGTCTAATACTCAGGTCTACTGTCACTTAGAGCTGCGAAAAAGTCAAAGCAATCAAAAGATACAGCCGTTTATGCCGCAAATTTAAATTTGGTACGAAGTAGCGTCTTATAGTACAGATAAAGGAAAAATTGCGAAAATCGTACTGTTTTAGTTACATCATATAATTTTTTTTTCCTAAATATTAAAATATACCTACAGGTTTGTACGGAACCCTCGGTGCGGGAGTCCTACTCGCACTTGGCCGGTTTTTTCAAGCATTTAACTGCTAGATGTTTAAATCTAATGAAAATGTTACTAGAACAAATTCCCAGGCAGCAGACGGTACTCGAACCCGCACCCTCCGCTATCCGGGCGGATGCCCTGACCATTATGCTACCGCGGCCCTAATGGCCGTGTCAATTTCCTCTAGTATTTCTTAGGCTGCGACGTAGCGCCATCTCTTCGCATTATAGATAACCCACAATGTCAAACGAAACCTTCACTAGTATTAAACATTTAAAAGAAGAAGTAGCAATTGTAGTTATATAATATATTATTTTTTTATAGTAGCATTTTCTTTAGATTAAAACATCTTTGGATTTAAACTTTATCATAAGTCTTCTCTCAGAACAAGAACTAAAGCATAGAAACAGTTTAAATTCAAGTAATAAAGTCGACTCATAAAGTTTTTGTATCAGGCGCGCAAGAATTTGTAGACTCCGAAGAGCCAGGGTCTTGTTGGCGAGCCCTAGAAGTAGCCGCGGCCAGAACAGGACCCTGGCACTGCGCCCTCGCCTGTCCCGGTGTACTGGCATCCGCACCCGCCAATAAGCAAGCCATACTCAAGTGAGTATACGCCATACTCCACTACCACTACCACTAGCACAACCTGAGTATTGTCCGTATAGTTTGCATCGATATATATTATATTTATTGTATTTTATGTATGTTAATGCCTAGGTTTATATATGTATGTATATAAGGTGAAATTAAATGTTTTAATGAAACTGTGAAATTATTGGGTAACGTGATTTTCTTCGAATTTTTTGGAAGTATTTTTTTTCTAGTTTTAATTTATAATTTGTGTAATTTTATGTCCTTTCCTCCTTTTGAGTAGTTATTCGTTGAAAACACGCATACATACGTATTCAGTGAAAACAACTAATTAACAAGCACTACTAAAAACGAAAAAACAGTAAAATTAAGCGAGCGCGGCCACCGCGGGTCAACGACCGCGCCCGCCGGCTGTTGAGTGAGTAGGTGCTCAGCTGACGCGACTCCTTTGATTCCACACAATACAATCAAATCGTGTTAGATGCCAAATTTATTGAAATAATAAGCACAAATGTCATTTTCTGTTAAGCAGAGAAAACCCTAAAAAGTTAATAATAAAATTTTAAATAGACAAATGAAGTAAAAACATTTTTGAAGTGAAAATAGGTAAAAATGTTAAACTCGCGTCAGGACACGTGGCGTAAGACGAAAACAATAAAATTGTAAACTTTCAATATATTGGACGAAACATAAAAATATTTTATTTTATCGTATTATAATAATAAATCTCTAACTAGGACGTCCAGGTGGCAGCTTTATTGCGAAGAAAATGCATTTTTTTACAATAGATGTCGCTAGGTGCGCTTAAATGTGATTCATGTAAGTTGATTTTTCTGAGAGATAAACTTTTTATGCGATATAAATTGTCATGTTTGGGTACGATAGCGCAATAAAAAATATTGTATTCTACCACATAAATGATAGTACTTTTATCCTGATAATTAAAGCAATTCGTGCAAAATTATTCCCTTACCATTCCAAAATATCATGGATAGCTTTGAGATTTGAGACCGGGCTCGCTCACTGCGCTTTGCACCGCGCATAGGTAGGTAGGTAGGTAGGTATTCAACGGCGGGAGCGGTCATTGCTGTTTTTTTTTATTAGTTGTTTTACTTACTCTGTATGCTTGTTTAAAAAGAATGATTATTTAGTACCCAAAATTAGGAAAGGACTTAAAAAATAGCAAAAAAAAAACAAAAAAAAATATTTCAATCATATTCAAAAATCCGAAAAAACGTATAACCTATATATGTAACCCAACAATCCGACGAAGTTCCATTAAAACATTCAATTTCACCTTGTATGTATATATATTTATATGTGTATGTTTATGTCTCATGGTTGTATGAGTATTGTATTTATGGGCAACAATTTGTATTTAAGTATTATTATTTTATTGCTATTATTATGTTAATGTTCATTTTATTTAATTTTTAGCAACTTTGCCCTATCGCCATACTATTTGTCTCCAAAAATCATACTGATTTACTGGTAGAGAATGCCTATGGCATTAAGTCCGCCGTTTACTAATGCTTGGCAATAAAGTTTAAATAAATACTCAACACAGTACACACTACATTCACTGGCACTGTCCCGGCGTACTGGCCTCAACAGCCATACTCAAACGAGTATTATACTCAAATCATTACACGACATACAGTCAGTACATGACATTTTAACATTTTAAAGTCAGACATACATGTACTGACTTTAAAACTGTAATTGCGCCATTCCGCCTAGTAGAGGTTCTGTGTTCGACTGTATTTTTTTTATGTATGTTCACCGATTTCTCCGTCAATTGTGGACCGATTTCCAAAATTATTTTTTATTCGTAAGAGTGCACTTCCGGGTGGTCCCTTTGGAACCAAGTTAGGATCGGATGGTGGAAACCGGAGAATACGAGGGAAGCCTTCAAATTTCAAAGGCACGCACGATGTTTTTTTATGATATCGATCGAAGTAATTTTATAAAACCGACTTCCAAATCGAAAATGGAACTAACTTACGACTTCCAAATCATGAACCAGATGTTATTTTTTACTTTTTAGTTCCCTTTTTCGATATTTAAGTCGGTTTTATTTGTTGTTTAAATGTTTTTTTATTAATTCTCTCCAGGGCGACAGCACCAAGGAACGCCATTATAGATCTCCGACCGCAGCCGTTCATATCGGATCGACTGCCGACGCCTCTCACTTTCGTGTACGCTGTGTCCTTCTACACAATCAGAGCTTTAAGGGTAAGAAAGTAAAAAGACATTCTATAGAAATGTTTTAATTAAGTAGAAACAAGTTTCAACGGTATAGATGCACGGAATTATTAATTTATTGACGTTTCGTATCCTTTTCAGGATGCGTCGTGTGAATTATGATATTTTTTTTTATTTACATGTACGTCTATCTACGAAACGTCAATAAATAAATAAATCAGTGTATGTATACCGTTGAATCTTGTCTTATTTAATGAGTGGTGTGCGTGAAAAGCTAAGAAACAAAATTTTCACTTGAAAAAATTTCACGCGGTCCAGGCAACAGACGGAACTCGATACCGCATCCTCTGCTATAAGGGTGCACTGACCAATTATCGTAAGGTCGCGGTAGCATAATTATAGTAAAAAAAAATAGTAAACTTTCTCTTTTAGATTTAAACATCTTGCAGTTAAGCTTAGAAAATAAATATATAATATTAAGACATTCTGAAGTCAACTAAAGACAACAACAACGTTAATAAAACCGTGGTTAGAGTTTTTGGAGCAGTACGGGACGCAATATAATAAAGTTTGACATTTAATTTTACCAAAAATCTAAAAAGGAAATGGGAATGTCATATTCTCCGTAAGCATTTTGAAAATGAAATAAATCATAAATTGGTTTGAGCTCCCGGTATATATAACATGTGTAGACCCTAAAAGACGGTCTGATTAAATAAGTAGAGTAGCAGAGACATGTAGATAAATATAGATCTAGACAGTTTGAAAAAAATTAGGGTATTTAAGAATATTTACGTCACCATAATGACAAGAGGTTTTTTTGTATGAAGTTTTTGGCGCGAATTAATCGATCGAGCGTTTAAATTGATCTATAGACCATGACGATATAGGTACGTGAGTTGACGGATGAGTAGACTTTTTGCTCTCGGTGCTGCCACCTGGCTGCCGTCATTCAAGAAAACCCTCATTGGAGGAGGCCTATACAAGTAGAGACATCCTTGATAAAAAGAAACTCAATAGCATAACTTACCATGTTTTACATAATAATTTATGTAAATTATCAAGGAAATGGTGTCGATTCCGACATGATTCTTGAAACGGAGAGCTACTGGGATGGAAAATGAATGATATGATTTCAGACGCAATGGGTTTATTTGCACTATTTTAGCAATTCACAGAATAGTATTATAACCAGATGACAGGCACAAAGACAACGAGAACACAACAACGATTTTGATAGGTAAAACATAAATATGACAATAATTTAAAAACACTTCAAGAAAACTATAAAACCTTTCAAAAAGGTCGGCAACAATTCTCTAAACTTAAAACTAAATTTAACATCAGTCTCTCCCTGTCATTCTCTGACAAGTCTTGCACTTTTGTCAAATTGAATTTTAGGATTGCCAGAATCGACACCATTAAATGTCTAATTATAAATTTCTATTTTAGTGGGTAGTGGGTTTGGGCAGCCACACAGACTGGCTGGAAAACCGTCAAAGACTAAGGCCGGGACTAGAAAATCTCGCACAACTCGTCGACACCGGCCGGTTGCAGCCCGTTTTGGACAAGGTAATTTATTGTTTTTCTAATATAAAAAGGGTTTCTTTTTTCATGTAAAAAGGGTAGTAAACAAACATCATCATCATCAGCCTATTAATGTCCCCACTGCTGGGGCACAGGCCTTCCCTATGGGTGGAAAAGGGAGATTGGGCCATGACCCACCACGCTGGTCATAGTGGGGCCCAGTGCGGGTTGGCGGGTTCTAACGTCTGCAGCAGCCGGGACCAACGGCTTAACGTGCCTTCCGAAGCACGGAGGAACTCAAGATAGAAGATTTTTGGTCACCCATCCCATGACCGACCATTGTGAAAGTTGCTTAACTTCAACGATCGCAGCCGAACGCGCTAACCACCTGCGTGGTTGACCTCCGCAAATAATCATATTGGCCTATAATTGTAAACGGCCAGCATTAAAAAAAAGTGCTGTTATGCAAGTCTGGGGTCATAACCTCCATCGTACAGAAGACCACAGTAAAATAACACTTCCTTTTGGTGGTGTTGTGTTTCTGTTGGTGAGTAAGTTCTAGGGCTCCAGTAGGGGATTGAGTCAGGGTAGATAACGGTGCAAGCAACGATATTAAATACCCTAGATACACCACGAGCGCTCAAAATGTGTCCCAATTCAGAAGTGCTTGAACTCCACTCAAGCATTTCTTGGTTCACGATGACGCTCGGACTGTAACAAAGTCAAGATGCCACAGAACTCCGTGACAAAATGCGAAATAAACTTATAATATCAAAAGTGTTGTTTTTTTCACAGGTATCTAATCAATGTTAATTTAACGCATTTGAAGAAAATTTTGTTCTAATACTTACTATAAAACTGATTTAATATAAAATATTACTTTGTGATATTCAAATGCATGGCCGGTTATACGTCGCCGTATAGCAGTCTCTTTTCCTCGCGGTCTCATCTTACGGAGCTCCATGGATCGTACATTGTACCTTTTGGACACGTTTCGGCCCCGATTTTGGTCTTGTTGTTGTATCTAGGGCATTTAATATCGTTAGGTGCAAGTGGTATTATTTTATCTACATGCTATCGTGGCCGCTTACCTTCTGGTGGGTTTATTAAATCACTACTTAAAAGTGCTGTAGCTACTGCAATAACGCTAAAATCGTCAAACCAAAACAAAATATTTAAGCAGATTGGGTGATTATTATGGGTGATGTGAATTGTTTGAATATTTTTTTTTCTCCAAGCAGGTGTTCATGCCTCAAGATTTCGAGAGCGCTTTGGCTCACGCGTGCAGCGAAGATGCGATAGGCACCACAGTCATCAGATTCCCATAAATTACTTAAAAGTCGCCGGATAAAACTTTGTGGAATAAATACATATGATTATCAAAATTATATAAAATTGATATGTTTCGATTACCATCTTTGCTCTTTCTGACCAAAACAAATATTTGTTTCACCGCTAATTGCAGTAATATATGATACGATTTGGCAGAGTTGTTAAATATGAGATCTGAATCTGAAAAAAAAACTAGGAAATATTTAAGATTCTGTTAATAGGTCTATGATATCAAAGGGTCTATAAACATCCATAGACGTAGTTTCATATGATAGAGAGTTGGTATTTTCTGCATTAATGGATTGGCTTTAAATTGTGCCATAAATAACACAAAATATGTTATTTTAAAATCATATGAAACTTCGGTTACGGATCCTCTAAAGAATTATAACTATTATTTATTTCAACTGTGGTTAATCAGTCAACTCACCGACATTATAATTAGTTGTAAATTATTGAAAGACATTCTGTGCTCACAGCAAAGTCACAAAATGCGAACCCAAAGAATATTAGTGGCCAGTGGAACTAATATTTTGGGTAAATTAATATATTGTACCTAAGAAAATAAAATTCCAGAAAAAGTTACTTTACCCAGGGCTGGATTAGAACCTATGCATTGCGAGGTAAAGTATTTTTACTTTATTTTCTATCACGTAAATTTTAAACAATTCTTCTCCTGGAAATCATTGTATTTTTGGAAGTGTGTACTCCATTTTACTGCAGAAGAGTATTATTTTGTATTGACTGTGTACTTCTTAGTAAATTAATAATTTTATCCCAGCCAAAGAAGATAGATAATTACAGTTATTATACACTACCTTTACAGAAAAAAAATATACATTTATATATAAACTACAGATTTTTTAAGTTGTGTCTATTCACACATTGTAAAAATATTTAATACTTATTATATGATGGATGTGTGAAAATTATATTATTCTAGTTTTAATTTTTACTATAGTGTTCATTGATAAATTGTAAATATACTAAAATTGGGCCTCGTTAAATCTCAAAATAAATACAGTTCTAATGTTAAAATAATAATAATAAAAAAGCCGGTTTTTTCTTTTTTAAATTATATTAGAAAATAAATTGTAAAAATCTTAATTGGTTTTGTGATGCCACTTACTATAAGAGATAATTAATATATTTGACAAGAAATTGATCTAAAAGACTGTTATATCCCAAACGTTAGCCGCATATCTGTAAATAATAAATACTATGTAAAAAGGATAATTGTAAATTATACAGGTGCTGGTATGTATAAATTTTATATACTAACGTAACTTAACATTTACATTGAATTATTTATAATAAATATAAATTTTAATATAAATTTACGAATTTATAAAACAACATTTATACTAGACTTAATGGCTTTACTGGATTTGGGCTACACATTTTATGTACAGATTACACATACAAAAAAGCTTATTATTTATGTTCTTTATAAAAAATTGATCCTAAGAAACCAAAACAAAAATATTGTATCAAATAAATCTGTGTACTTTTTTGATAGGATTCCTTATTTCATCCCGATTCGATTAGTACTAGGATTTTAGAAATATTCTGCGTAATAATATGTATAATTTATTTTCTGCTATTTCACATTGTACTTAAAGTATATTCCATGTACAGTGTTCACAAAAATAATTAAAATACCTAGGGAAATACTAAACTGACTGTATAAAACTAAAATTTGTAGCGATAAGATTTTTAGTTGTAAATGTGAATTCGAATTGAATTGAAAACAAATAAACAATCCTTTAAATAATTTATTACAATAACTTTTTTGAAAGGAAAACTTCTTCACATTTCTGATTCAATTTGTATTCTGAAGTTACACACTTTATACACTGCAATTTTTATATATAATTTATTTTATTTTAATAAAAAATATACATTATGATCCTATAAGGTTGCAGTTTATAATCACATTATATTTTAAATATAGGTATGTGTATTATATTATACAGTTCCTATGTATCAAATAATAAAAAAAAGTATTTTTAAATTCAATTTTATTCTCTGTGTAAGACAAGAAGAATATATTGATAAAGCAGGCGCCAATAGTTCACGTAGCGTGAATTGAAAGCTGTCAAAATGTCCAATTAAACCAAAAAACATTAGATAAGTAGGTAGATAAAATGTTATATTGAAATAAATGTTGTTTTTATATTTGTGTTTTTTTTTTCTCCTGTGTGTGTATCCAGTGACAAAACTTCATCTCCATATCCAGTGTCGAAAATCATCGATACTAACACTAGATAATAAGTAATCATGTAACTAACCATATTATGGATGCATCATCATCATCATCATCAACCCATGTTCGTCCACTGCTGGACATAGGTCTCCCCTAATGCACGCCACTGCTCCCGATTTTGTGCTACTCTCATCCAGCCCACTTCAGCCAGCCTACGAATATCATCATCCCATATATATCGGCGCCGAGACGTGGACACTCACGGCTGGACGAGTCCACCAGTTTAAAGTCGCTCAGAAAGCTATGGAAAGGGCTATGCTTGGAGTATCCCTGAAGGACCGCATCAGAAATGATGTAATCCGACAGAGAACCAAAGTCACCGACATAGCCCACCGAATTAGCAAACTGAAGTAGCAGTGGGCTGGTCACATTAGCCGCAGAACTGATGGACGTTGGAGTCGGAAAGTTCTTGAGTGGAGACCGCGACTCGGTAAACGTAGTGTAGGACGCCCTGAGACAAGATGGGATGATGATATGGATGCATCCTTGTCCGAAATAAATGTTTATTATCTAATATATAAAAGTCCAATCTAATATGTAAATATGTAAAAGTAATTTATTATCTAAAATATATAAAATATGAGAATCGGACAACATCTATTTTTCATCCCCCTAAATGTTAAGGGTAATCCACCCCTAAATTTTTTTTTTTCAATTTTAGATATTTCTTTTTTTAATTTTTTTGCTGTATCATAGCATTAGTAAATACATATAACTCTGATTTTTCAACCCTTTACAATCAACCCCTATTTTTTATGGCGGTACGAAGTTAGCTGGGACAGCTAGTTATTATTATAAAAATGTATGATCAAAAAATTTTCATTTCATGCTCACATGTGCTTCAGAAGGCACAAAAATTTATGACCAAAAATTTTTCATTTCAGGCTCACATGTGCTTCAGCCCCTCAAGCATGACTACCGAAACGGGATATGATAAAGCGATATATCGGCTTTAACTGTCAGACTACTGTCAAACTCCACTGTAGTCTGACAGTTAATTAGACTGAAGCACATGTGAGCCCGAAATGAAAAATTTTTGGTCATGATAGAGGTACACAAGGCACGATATATCATTGGTCCCGGCTGTATTTGTATTCTTTATTTACACCCATGCTTTAAAACCGCTAAAGATTCAGAAACAGGTTATTTTAGTCCAGTCAATGAAGGCTTAACTTTGCCATTTTGAGTTGATCACCTGCAACCAACGCGAATATTTCCGCAAGGGTTCGTAGATTAATATACTAAAATTGCAGGGTGCTGCATTGACGGCAAAGGGTGAAAAAAAAATGCAAAATGGTGCAAAAACGAGTTTTTCGTCAATATCTCGCGACTGGCTGGAAAAATAGAAAAAGTTTGTAGCACAAAGTTGTAGAAAATTTAATTTCCTACAAAAAAGGTATCAACTTATTTTCGCGTATCTCCCATAGTTTTTACACAAAATGCAATTAAAGGTGCAAAATAAAAAAAGAAAAAATATTGTTTATGGTTTTTTTTCCATTTTTAAACGATCCTACAGGGCAAATTCAACAATCACCAATTACTGAAATATTTAAGGATGAGTTTTCGGCAGTCCACTGAAATGAAAATTGTCTACCGAAATGGTAAAAAATTACCACCCAAATGATACAGCCAAGAACATCGCCTTTGTAGTAGAAGGGTTCCCTATTTTGAATTTAAATAAATGTCTATTCTTTGTAAATATTTTTGTTCATTATTTTGTAATAAGAATTATTAATGAACAATTAATTAATTGTTACTCCTGTTAAATATTATTACTAATTATAATTATTAATATGTACATTTTCAAAATAACGAACAAAGCGCGTTTAGAAAGCGAGAAGTTTATTATTAGTAAATCGTCCCCTTAGTGCCAAAACCGATTATCTACACTTTTCCGGTACTGAACTTTTATAATACCAATCGACCCGTCTCATTAAGCCGCATCTACAGGTAAAACCCATTATGCTCTACGACGCATACTTCCTGAAATAGCTAATGAATAAACAAAATAACTGCAAATTATTTCCAAAATTCTTGATTTAAAACCTAATAAACCCTTAAATTAATTTTAATTAATTAATTCAAAACACTTAAATTTGTAAACATATTAATTGTTGAAACCAAGTTTCGGATTTAAACTCATTTTTCATGTAGACATTTAAAATATCCTGTGAGTATCCTGTAATTGGCTTTGACTTGACTGTTTGAATTTTACCAGATATTTTAATTTTACTAGATACTACTAGATGAAGTAAAAACTAACAAATCTGTCGCTTTTTGCAAAAAAAATATATATAATATGTTTGCGTTATATTTGAGGCAAGTAAAAAAGGATAGGTCGAATCGATCGACAGGTGACCTTCTAGCGTACGTGACATATATCTGGGGTGAGGCTATCGATAAGCGAGGTGAGTCTTTGGCTATCAGCCTTAACATCGCCAAGGCTTTGATAGGGTCTGGCACATAAGTCTTCTCTCCAAGCTTCCTGGATACGGTCTGCCTACTCAGTTCTGTGCCTGAGTGGCTGACTTCCTGCATGAGCGTCAACGGACGGCGACGGATGTAGTTCGCAGTTCATGTCAGTGAATGCCGGTGTTTCTCAGGACTCCGTCCTATCCCCTACACTCTTTTTGCTGCATTCAATGATTTAATTCCTCTTGAGAATATTCATTGCTATGCAGACGATAATACAGTGCATGCGGGATATTTTGGATACGCAGCCGTTGGACAGGTAGTAACCAAAGAGAAACGGGAGAATCTTGTCATTGAACTCAATAAAGATTTGGACTGCATTTCGGAATGCGGTACCAAGAACTTGGTTGAGTTCATTGCCAAGAAAGCCCAAGTCTGCGCTTTCACGGTAAAACTAACGTTTTTTCACGCCTGAGCAACTGTGCTTGTTGTACATGACGTAAGTACGGTGATGCTTTGGATAGGTTACAGCGGCGCGCGATCCGCATTATTGTCGATAAGGAGGTGACTAAACACCTCGAGCCTCGTCAATTACGCCGTGATGTAGCGTTATTAAGCGCGTTTTATCGACTATACCTTGGCGCATGTATTGAGGAGTTATTGTCTCTTAACCTACCTTCCCCTTTCCTACAGAAGTCTACACGCGCTGGCTTACGTTGACACCGACTTACTGTGAACTACTATTCCCACTGTTCCAACGTGAACAAAGATATTTGGTAACTCATTTCTTTGTCAGACTATCCGCAAATGGATTACTTTGC